TGCCCTCTCCCCCCACACGATGCTCAGGTGGGACATGTGTACGAAGAATGCCAGCACCATCATCAGGCCTCTCATCCACGTCATCCACAGTCATTGGCGCAACACCGAAGGGGACAGTGGAGTCCTCAGTCATCAGAGGGTGGGATCAGGAGAGCCAAGGAAAGACAAAGGTTCCAGGGTCGCACAGGAGAGCAAAGCAGCCCCGGGGAGTCGCAGTCCGGCCAAGAGTAGGATGGTTTAGGGTTAGGGTTTAGGGTTTAACCAAATTCGGCCAGGCATGTGATGTTGCACGTTGCTTGCTGATCTAATGGGGAAGATGATGGGTTTAGGGTTTAGGGCTTTAGGGTTATAGGGCTTAGGATTGTATTTAAGGCCTAGACTATGACCAAAAGTTAAAAAAATGTATAGGTGGAGGCTGCAGGGTCGGGGACGGATGCGGTCCTCACCGAAAGCTATTTGCAGGAACTGGACGAACTCGCGGATCGTGAGGTCCTCGGTTCTTGCGCAGGTTTCCGAATTTGAGACAGAGGGTTTGAGAGTGCTGGAGAATGGAAGCAACCTCAACAGCTCCCGCAAAGCGAAGTGAGGATCAGATCGTGGCAGCGGTAACACTGCCGCCCGTTACAGTAGCACACGCCATTACTTCCCCGAAGGTGCATCTGCCGAAATGCGACCAAGCGTGCGAAAATGTGACACAACCTTAGTGATAGTGCTCTTAAAATTTCTGCTCGCTGAGGCCCCATCGAACTCATTCCAGAGCTGACCCAGAACACGCCATTCGTTTTGCGAGATGCTGCCTTCTCCTGTGCCAGTAAATCATCCGGCTTCTTCTCGAAGCGGGCAGGGTTCGGATACAACCGGACTCGACATCCACAGACACTCGCACACACAAGCGAAAGTTGCACAAGATGAAACAACAATCGGAGTGTAATTCAAATTCAAGACCGAAGCTTCTCGACGACACAACCCAAGGTGCCGCGGATGTCAGATTCTGAAAGCTGGAGCTACGAGGGCATTTGCACCCCTCCACCCCGCCTCCGGGATCAAGGTACCGAAAGATTGCCGCCAAGCGCTGGTTCTCATCTGGACCTGCATGGTCAAGGACTTTTGCAAAAAGAGCCTGATCCGCCAACTCTGATCGGCTGAAGGAGTGATTTCGGTATCATAGTACACTATAGTGTACTATAGTATATTGTATAGTATGTTAGAGTCTGTGGTTGAACCGACTTGTGACATGCCGTCACCACAACCCTCGATGCTCGAATCGAAAAATCAGCACTCACTACATGTGGGTTCCCAACCTTATAAAACGAACTCTAATCTACCCACGTGCGTCCTGCCTTTGAATTTGCCGCAGTCCAAGGCCACAAGCGCAGCTTGGAAGACACCTGCGGCGTTATTGCGTTCCGAAAGTGCAAAGACCAACAACAACCACCTGCGGCTAGGGTTTAGGGTAAGTTTGTGACCTTCACACTCGGACAAAGACAGGCAGTCTGCAGACGAGGACTTGGGGTTCTGGGTGGCCTGTCAAAACTGGGCTTGTTAGTTCACGAACCTTGCTGACCCTACTGAGTAACACGGAAACCATGCTATATACAATAGATCTCTATTGTGGTAACTGAGACTAAGCTCCTTAACAAGAACCCAAACAGCAACGTAGATGTCTAAAGGCTTTTGACATCGAGTGTAACCTTGTATGGCTCAGCAGTCCCTCTGCTGCCGGATTCGCTGGTTTCTTGATTTCGCTCATGTTTGCGCTCCCGTCATGCGCACTCACATGAGCCATCATAAACAGGAATAATCGAATGCTTCTTCCGTTGAACTGAGGCCGAGACGTAAAGTTATGAGCGGTGTCTTCGTGTCGCTCGTGTTTATGATCTTGCGGAAGGCCTCCATTTAGCGCAAGTAGGACTAGCACCGGCATCGCACGACGAAGTGCCACTGTGCACTCAGGGCAACGGCGCCTCATCGACGTTGCTGAAACGACTGATCAAGAACTCCAACAAATCAAGAATGTCCTTAGGAAGGTGCGCACCCGAAGCATTGCCATGTCTGCCACAGCTCGACATGGACCCATGACTGATAAGCAATCGATAGTGACGACGAGGAGAACCGACAGGAATTATGCTGAAGGAAGCCGTATGCACAAACACTTGATGAGCGACGGCAATACGGAAGGACATGGTTATCAACAGCCAGCACTGCCTGGGAAGAAGAACATGAAACTAGAAGTAATGGGGAAATCCGTAGGCCCTAATGCTGCCAGCGGCTGTGGCAAAACCGATAAGATGCAAAACACCGGACAATGGTGCTACATACAGATATTGAAGCCAAAACGGACAACAAGGACAGTGTTGCCAAGCTGTAAGAGAAAACTTGTGGTGCTCAGCGTGGAAAGCTGGAGAAAAGCCTGTGTAACTACAACCTAAATCTTGTTATGCCTTCCTACGTCCATTATTACTAGGATTTATCATCATCATACATACACTCGTCATCGTTTACCATAAGCCCGATGCAGCAGCTGTAGTAGCTCTGTCGTAATCGTCGTCGTGTGGTGCTTGTGGTATTGGCAGAGTAGTAGTAGTAGTAGTAGTAGTAGTAGTAGTAGCAGCAGTAGTAGTAGTAGCCGTCGTAGT